TATTGCCATCCGTGTCGCAGAGTGGACTTCATTGAATCTTTTCATCGATGCATCCGCAGTTCTAGCAAAGTATGGTGTAATCAGGTTTGGTCTCAGTGGATATGCTGAATCTACAAAAATAAAAAAGGAATTCAGTTTTTTTTTTTTTTTTTTTTTTTCTCTCTTTATAACGACGTTGTTAGTTACTGTACCTCCGATGATGAATGTGTTGTTGGGGGTATAAATATCACTGTTGTTCAGTAGCCGATCACATAAGGAACTTCTGGAGAAGGCTCTAGCATCATGAGTTCGACCTATCAAAAAAAAAAAGTCAACATCACATTTCATCCATCATCCATCATAATAATAGCGCTTTACCAGGGTTCCCAGCGTGCACATAAGTGAACCGCATATTCGCGTCACACACAGCCAAGAGATTGATAGACAAGTGATTCTTTCGGTCACGGTAGAATTCACTGTCGACACCATGAGGCTTGTGGATAACAACAAGCTTGCCATCAATCGCACCGATAACGCCAGGAAGTCGTTTCACCGTCCCATCACCAAGAAAAGCATCCGTAGCACGTTGATTATCTTCACCCATTGGCCATGCGATCACATCACGATGAGTGTCGTAGAGGGCACGAAGGAAACGCTTGGTATAATTGTGATAAGCACCTTGAGAAATGCCAAGATGAGTCGAGGCCATTCTGTATCCAAAGTGTGTGTTCGCAAATCGCCACAAAACACACGCAATCTGCTTGTAAGCAGGAAGTTGAAGATCGCTGGTGTTGTAAACGGGATGTGAGGCCAAGGTTTCCACCAACCATTCAAAAGTTGAACGATTCATTCGGTAATGTGCTTTGTAACTTCGAGGGCTATCATCTTCATCGTTCAGATTGTCGTGAGTAACCGTCCAGTAACTACCATTGTTGATTGTTGACATTCGTTCAGCACGGAAAGCACCAGGAAAACACTCCATCGCTATGGTCCAACCAGTAGTGAAGGTGAGGTTGAAATAAATACAAAGACGTTGGTATTCATTCATGAAATGTTCCGTTTCCAATTGTTGTTGTTCCAAAAACATCATGACCAATGTGTTGAAGTCGTCGTCATGAAGAATATAATCAAGAATAGAGAAGTTCATTTTGTAATAAGTAATGATGAAAGTATCAGATAAAGGATAAAGAATAAAAAAAAAAAAAAAAAAAAAAAGAACACAAAAAACGCGAGACTTTTTTTTTTTTGTTACCAGGTCACGCAGATTGCTACGGTAATTTTGTCATCGGAATGTGAAATAACGACAATTTCCCTTTTTTATACCTCATCAGTTTAGCAACTAATCCGTCCTCCCAGTAACACAACCTACACGAAAATGGAAATATCCTTTTATGTCTCTACTTTACTTTTATTGGCTAATTTTCAATTTCAGCTTGGGAGGGGGGGTTGGGAGGATGGCATCGTGAGAGCACCCCTAAAAAGGAAGTGACGAAACAAAAATGGAAGTGGCTTTCAAAGGCCGAGGTAGTACCAGGAGGGACGTACTTATTTTCTGTCGACGGCTAAATTGGCGGCTTCGGGAAATTTTTATCCGAAATCTTTTTAAGGGTGACTCCTCCTTTTTTTTTTTCTTTCACTCTTTTTCTTCACTTTTCTTTTTTTTTTTTTTTACATGCGAATGCATTCCTTTTTATTTTTTTTTTATAGATAAAGTATGAAATACGCAAATACGATAAAGACGAAAGAAAATTGTGTGATACTATATTAGTGTTGTTGACGGTTTAAACGACGGAATTGACGCGGGTGTTGGTTGCGAAGTTCTTCGAATAGCTGAAGGTATTCCCTTAATGTCGTTTCCATTCTTGTTGTTATATCTGGTAACAAGTTGGGTATTCTTCTTGCAGCTTCCAAGTCTTCTCTTTGATGGTATGCACTTGTGATCATGGAACTAATCGATTGAAGCTGGGCATCTACATTAACGGCTTCAACAGCAACGTCCAACTCTTCTACAGTGGCTTGATGGTCGACTTGTACTTCAGCAATATTGCCATCATCATCATCATCATCATCATCACCAGCGATTGCATCCAGATCCATATTCACATCGGGCTCATCTACGAACAGAATAAGAAATGTAAGTTGTTTTTTTTTTTTTTTTTTTTAGTACCACCTCTTGATTCCAGGGTTTCCATGACTTCATGAAATTGTATGTATAATCCCGTGTATCTTTTCAATATATACATATGCTTACATGGTGCAAGTCTCTGTTGAAAATCATCACAAGTGCACGATTCAATCAACGTATCATCATTAACCTTCACTCTATACAGGGAATTTTCATTTGAAAAAGATCTTACAGACCAAGTACCAATAGGATTAGAAGGGCAGCTACTATTATCACCATCTGGATTCGTTATCATAGTAGGCATTCTTTCGATAGCAACAATGGATGCAAGGTACAACCTACGAGCTTGTTGATTTTCTATAGGACCCATTCGACCGTCATTGATACTTATTCTTTCCCGTTCTGCTCCATTAAAATATTCGACATGATGAGTAAGAATAAACACCAAACGATCTAAACGTCTGTTTCGCAATCTTTGGAAATACTTTGTTTTCAGTTGATTGTGCCATGATTCGATATAATTGTTTGTGAACATGTTGTAATGGGCTGGTGAAAGGTACGCTTGACTCCATCGTGTCATTGTTTCTTCATCCTTAATCCATGATTCTTCGAAATAATCCAAGAATTCATACTGACCACTATACTCCTCTTGGAAGCAAGCAACTCGAGTATGAAATTCATCAATTTCCTTCGCCACCAAAATACTTCTCAGGCTGATCAACATTTCTTCTCGAAGATTAGCAACATCACGAGCAGTATGTGATCCATCTAATCGAACTTTCTGCTTCAATTGCCTCTTCCATGCTTGCATGACGTGAAAACCACAGTAATGGATAAAAGTAGATGGAAAGGCAGCTTTGATGGCATTTACCTCGGGTACGGAACAATCAATGGTGACATATTGAGGACGAAAATTGCTGCTATCGCGTAGATGAACCATCCATTGATTAATGGAACCAACAGAATGATCATTGGTAAACATGTATGCTGATGGATACCCCTTGCCAGTAACGCGATCTCTGATGATCAACGTGTACATAACATCCATGGATTTGGAGGAAATGCCATGAGTGGCGTCCAAGCAAAAGGAAATAGAAGTACCCATTCTACGCTTTTGATCTGGTGATTGAAAACCTAGGGCAAAGAGGCTGGTGTTGCTACTGTAGGCTTGTAAATTGCCAGTGAATATGTTGTAATTGCGTAAAGGGAGGACCCTATTTAACCATATTCCTAACGATGTCATATCATCTCGATGGAATTCGTACAACTGGTGTTTGATCTGATATATACGTAAAAAAAAAAAAAAAAAAAAGAAATACTCTTAGTACAAGTCCGATTCATGCAAGCTGTGATATCTGTAAATGTGCGTGGAAGCCTTTTTTTTTTTTTTTTTTTTTTTTTTGCTGTTAATGACATGCCTTCAACATTCTGTTATAGACATCCTCATAATTGACTGGTCTCAAGCTGGGATTGCCATCGTTATTTTCAATCCAATCATCAAGTTGTCGCATGATGCTAATTCGGATGTTGCTGCAATTACCACTCTGTCTCAATTCCCTCGTAATCAAGTCAATCGCTTGCGTGGTCAGTGGTAGAGTCCTTCGATCACTTCTTTCACCAGGAACATGACCGCTGTGTCCTCTTTGAAGAACGAACTCCATTATGTCAGGTGTACTGGCATACTGAGTCACCTTCAAACTTCCAGAACAGCCGCATTTTTTGGAAGGTTTTTGAGCAGGACGTTGAGAACGCTCCCTGACTGGATACTCTCCACTTCTGTGGCAGTGATAGGTTCGACTGTAAAGCACAGTCGCAAGTTCACGTCTACGTTTATAAGTGCGCAAAACACACCACTTTTCACAACACAATTCCTGTATCTTCAATCGACAGGCGTCCCACTCGTCAAATTGAACGCAGATAGGAACTTCTAAAGGAAGTTCATAAACACCTCGTACAGTTGTTGGGAGCAAAGCATCGCGAAGGTTGTTGGCAGTGTAGATAGTTGAGGACATGTTGTTATTTACGTAGATATCACTATAGTAAAGAAAAGGAAAATATAAAGAAAAACAAAGAGTAGAAGAAAAAAAATTTTAAAAAAAGGGGTATCACTATTTATTTCACAAGTAGTGTGGCTTGGTGACGAAGTCATTGGTTTGTCGTAGTAACTAATCCACAATAAAAACTTATATCGAAGTGAAGAATATTGGAATCGTATCGTATCAGCGTTTCTCTTATCTATAAAAAAAAAAAAGAGAAAATAAAAAGGAATGCATTCACATGTAAAAAAAAAAAAAGTACATTCGAAGATGGAATCAATTGATTGACATGTAATGAAGTGATTTCAATAAAAGTAAAGTCTTTATTGAATAAAAGTTTAACTACTAAAGACTAATAAACACTACTAAAATGATATACTAAGACTAAGGTCAATACAAAAAAAAAAAAAAAAAGAAAAGTGAAGAAAAAGAGTGAAAGAAAAAAAAAAAGGAGGAGTCACCCTTAAAAAGATTTCGGATAAAAATTTCCCGAAGCCGCCAATTTAGCCGTCGACAGAAAATAAGTACGTCCCTTACATAGATGCGACGGCGTTTAAATAATTGGACATATTTATCAGATGGATTTTTTTTAAAAACGCTACTCTTTCTCTTCCAAAACATTCTTCTTTTTCGATATATCATATTCAATATACCTCCCGAAAGCGACTCAACCAATTACCAAGTTATTATAAACAAGAAGTTATCAAAAATTTTGAAAATGCTTACAGCTCAGCAAACCGAACTCGATAGCATCAAACACATCCTACAGATGGATCGACCGTAGCAGCAACCACCTTCTCCTGAACTAGTTGACCGCGAAGAAGAAATGATAAAAAAAAAAAACAATTATCAATACCATTATGAACAAACTTCTTACGGATGTTAGCACGAAATTTGGAAAGCAAGCGAAGAACAGAAAGCGCGAAAAAGAAAAGCAGAAGGATGACAATTATATCGAAGCAGCATTGGTTTATGACTTGGTTTACGAACTGGAGGAAGAGTATAAGCCGAAAAACTGTTCAAGAACAAGGTAATTTGGTCTCATATAGTGGATTGTAAAGCAAGATGAAAGGTGACCTCCAAATGAAACTCAATCAAAATGCTCATCATTGCAGGACATTTTTCTTTCCTTTCGGATGCCATTCGAAATAAGGTTTCAAAACGTATCAACTGCAGTCTATACCATTACTCACTTTTTTTTTTTCTTGTGTATACAGAAAACAAGAAGCAAGAACGAAGACGACGACAATAACAACAGTGACGATGAAGATGACGACGGTAGTAATGAAGGCCATGACAACGATGAGGACGATGACGACAGCGGTAAAGACAATATCGACGAAGAAGACAATGACGATGAAGCTGATTTGGATGCCATTTTTGACATTACTCGATTTGGAAGGTAAAAATGTCATGTCCATCGCAATGAAATATATGCAGACAATTTTACTTACTCCTTTTATTTATTATATTTAGTGAGGCAGGAAAAAACAGAAACAATCACAACCACAACCACAACCACGTATTATGATTAGTCCTTTTTTACTTCTATATATCATCTCCCCATTCTCTGTACATAACATCTTATTCTTCATATTAAATTACAATTAATTCAAATAAAATTACTGATTCATTATCTCAAATGTGGGTTTTATTCGCGATGAAGGTGCTGGATATGACATAGGATGGATTCCGGAAAAATCGTTATCAATTCCAATAAAAATCGTTTACCAATTGTTAGTAGTGTTTTGTATTAATTCAGATCTTAAATCTGAATTTATTTACATAAACTTTACTATGACGTCTAGGGGACTCCTATACAATTTCTAGCCTAGATATGCATTCTAGGACCTCTAGGACCCTCCCCCCTAAATAGCTAGGCCTAGAAATAATAAAAATATTTTGACTTCAATAAATCTATGACAAAAATATACTAAATCTAGGTAGGACACTATTACGGTTGAAATATAGATATGGTCGACCTCCAGAACAAGGAATTTCATTTGATCAGTACAAATATACTATTGAAATCATAATTTTATTTCATCACTACAAATATTCTATACTACATAACTATACTACATAACTATAATAATAAGTAACTACACTATAATCGATAATATCCATGAACTACGACCAGAATCACAACTAATGCCATCACCAGGACCACGATCATGACTTGCACTTTGGATAGGACTATTTTGTTTGATACAGACACTTCAATTGAATAACAGAGCCATTCCAACGTAGAAGGCATTCGATCTTGGTTTTGTTGAATGGTTTGCAATCTACAGATGAAATTAACAAAGTGCATAGTAAT